GATCTATAAGCCTGGGTTTTATGGTTACAGCTGTGCTATTAAACAAGTCAAAGCCTAGGCACAAGCCTGCATCAGTGTGATCTCTGGCACAGCTTTGATTCAGACCATCCAGCCCTCTGCCAAGTGATTCCCAGTAACAGTTTGGGAGTTACCATGGGCCAGGACAGCTGCCAGCAGGCATCTTTTGGAGAGGAAGGCTGCTTAGCTGCATGGCACAAGCCACATCAGCTGGCTGCATCGCCAAAAATCAGTACCTGACCGAGTCTGGTTAAACTGGCTTACATTTAACCCATAGGTTTTAGTGCAAAGAACTAATGTAACCTGTTCTGCCCTGACTCAGGCCAGAGGTTGTTCCTTCTTGACTCAGAAGGTTGTTCCCTGGAGTACACTTGAAGGATTACATCAGCAGAATGTTTCAGTCTTTGTAGAAAGAGTTGCTGAAGGATCACATTATTTGGGACTTAGTTTGGCAAGCCAAGGATGGGAGGAGAAAGAACAAAACCAGGGATGGCAGCAGAACATCAACACTGAGCTGATGGCCACCTCCAGGAAACCTTTGTTGGTACCCAAGTTCCTCATTGTCATCAGTCCAGCACCTGGGCAGGATAGAGGACAACTGCATTGGGTCCCATAGCTGACTGCACACGTGTTCATGCATCAGACATCTTCTTGGAGCACATGAGATCTTGTACCGATTTTTCCACCTTGTCCTCTTTGCTCAAGGGCACATTGTTTCTGCCTAAAAGATCTGTGCCTTGTCTTCTGTTGGATCTCAACTGATGCCTACACATGGCTTAGAGCTGCCTCCAGAAACCCATATGTGCACATACAGACCGCAATAACAGTCATTATGCCAGTAGCACTACAACAATACTGTTAGAGAATCAACAGAAAAAGAGTCAAGTTTTGCATTCAAGGCTTTTAAGAGAAAAATCCACTGAAAGGACAGGACACACTGGAACAGTTTGCACCTCACTCTGCTCGTACAGGGCTTGTATTGGTGTTTCAAGGCAACATTAGCCCAGTGATGATCTCCTGTGTGCCTGTGAGTTTCACTGGTTTCCGGTTCAGACCAACAATGACTTATTGGCACATGATCCAAAGCAAGAGTCTTCTGGCCACCGGCACCGCAAATTTGATGTGGGATACAGAAATCCAGCTGTGCTCTGCCATCAGCAACTCAACAGTTTCTGATTTTGTCTCGCTGCTCTATGGATGATACATACGGCAGACTTGACTCCAGCTGGCCCTATTGTATTGGATCTACAGTGACAGACAACAGGAGCCAGAAACTTTTTGTTCAAGTAGAGCCAGCAGATGTGACACTGAATAAACACAGACAGTCAATCTGCTGAGTAAGAAGGTATCGTTCATATAAATAACATACATCTAATCCTGCTTCCATTTTAAACCCAAATATGGGAATGCAAGATGCTCAGCGCTCTGTAGATTTATGCTTTGAACAATGAGATGAAGCAAAAGCAGATAACACACAGCCCCTCTGAGCTCAGTTCAAGTCTTGTTTAACTTTTGCTTTGAATTATTTTCACATCCACCACTTTCTCCACGAAGAGCTTCCCACAGAGCGTTAACAGTCTGTCCAGGCTAATGTCAGATGGGATAAACTAGCCTTACAAAAATATCTGCTGGTCCCTACTGCTTCTCCCAATGGACCTTAATTACAGAGAAATTAAAAGTATTATTCCAGTCATTTTAACCTCACACACTTTGAAAATAAGCATTACACCCACTAAGGGGTTTCTCATGGTCTGAGCGACAGGACTTGTTGGGCTTGACCTCTGAAATGACACATTTCCTGCTTATTGGAAAACTTTGCAAATTTGCACCTGCCAAAAAATTTATTTCATTAGGAAGTCAGTAATTATATGAATTAGCGCAGAAGAAAACCTGCTCAAGAGGTTACACGCAATATTGACACAAGGTCAGTGCCTTGTTTGAATACCTTATGCACCCAAAAAACAAGTAAAATTTGTAGGTAAGTTTGATACAGGTAATTCTTCTACCAGAAGCCACTAAAGATAAAACTGGAGCAAGTGGCTTCCAACTACCCCTGCCACGTGCCTCACACAAGCACACGCTTTCTTTTTGACAGACCACAGACTGCAAAGTATGGCTACAACATAATCCAGTACTCAGGACACATCCCTGGAGGATTAATGCTTCAGAACCTCTAAAAGACACGGAAGTTTTTAATTGTGTTAAGAATTTGCTTTATTGAAAAAAATAACTAAGAGAAGACTGTCATTGAGACTAATTGCACCTGATATCACTGTGCTTGGTTTTCTCCAGAGGGATCACTTCGTCCTTCCTCAAAACACAGCCACCAGTAGGATGCAATGATGTAACACACAGGAATTTAAAAAACGGATGTAGAAAAAAAATTATTACATTTTCCATGGGATTAACCTCCATTCTCATTAAAGATTCATTTATCTACTTTTTTTTTTTTCATTTGCTAGAGAGCTCCTCCAAGACAAACAGCAATTTATTTGTTCCCCGAGAACCCCGGCCTGAAAGATGCAGCCATCTGTCAGCGGGAAGGAGCTCTCTATAAACGGCTGCTTTATCATCAAACCCTTTCTGGTTCTTAATCTGCCACCTAAATTATCAAATGAAACTAAACAACCATTAGTTACATGTATACACAAAGTATTTTAAAGCACAAGCTCAGATACACAGAGCACAGCAAGTGGGTCAATCAACAAAGCAGCTTTTGTGCTCCGTGAAGTGATTCCCATGACCCCAGGTGCCCATAGCTGTTTTGTCAAGAGACTTCTGTAGGGAACGAGAGCTCATGTAGGCTTCATGACATGCATGGCAGGAGGTTTACTGAAGAGTCACTATCATATAATTCAAAGACCCAAAGAAAACGGGTGGAGGGCATCTCCTTCCTTGGACACCCACCAAGCCATCCCTGAAGACCGTGAAATTCGTTAGACCCCATAGAAGGACACCAACTCTCTCTCTTGTGTTGAGGCTCAGTCTGGGGTCCAGAATTGCTTGAGGTGCTCAGATCTTGACAGCTGTCTCCAGGATAAAAATGGGCCACTGATTTTGCTCTTTTTCTCCTAGGTCTCACCTTCTTAGAAGAACTTCATCAAAAGGTGCCTAGAAAAACTAAGTTACACCAGCTGACCACTCTGTACTCCCAACCTTACCAATCTCTTCAAAAAACTTCTAGCAATTTGAGAAAGGGACAACTGGAAGGTAGAAAAGCATGTGGCTGAGCCACAGGAGGGATCATCTCACCAAACCTCAGAGCAGGCCCCCAGTTCACAGATAGCTTACCCAAGAGTCTAGACACCCTCTAAATTCAATGGAGCATGACAAACAAGATAGTTGCCCTCAAGGGCAGAAGAGATCCAGCTCTTTAAAGAGTAAGGAATTCACAAAGGAGGGAAAAATTGAGCCTTTCAGGCTCAACTGTTATGGAAATACCTGTTCTGGAACCAGAACTGCTTATTGCTGGAAGTAACAATATGGGCAGACAGAATTACAGGTTTTGGATACACAGTGAAACCAGACTGAGTTACTTTATACTACCATAACCATAGTGTGAATGTGCTTGTCCCATCCCAAATGTGAACACAGTGCATTCTCCTTAAACCCGTTTTGTAACTGCAAAAAGTGGAATCACTAACTCAAATTCACTCTTATCCTCCCCCTCTTTTGGAGATACACAGGAAGTAGGTTTGAGACATCTCTCTATTTTCTGTATTAATGCCATTGTAAAACCCAACAGTTTAATCTTGCATTATGCACAGTGGGCTACCCAACTTAAAAATAATAAGCTACAAATATACTCACGCTACAGTCTTAAATGGAGATTTGAGAAAGGTGAGGATTATTATTGTAACATGGAAACATTCCCAAAGGAAGAGAAATTTTAACTAAACAGAACTGGATGGATTATCTCCATGCAACAAAATTTTCCTCTAAAAAGAGGGGGAAAAAAAAAACACAAGCTGAGGCATAACAAAATCCATCAAAAAGATAAGGAGGATCTCCTGGTTTTTTGTCCTATCAGAAGAAGTTCTCTTTCAAGTGACTTCAACTCAGAACGTCCTGGTCCAGCTGCCTGGAGCCCAGGACATCTGCTCATCTTCAAATATCCCAAGCACATCCTGTCTCAAACATCATGGCCCAGAGCAGTAGACTGGAACGCTCACACTTATGGAAATCTACCAAATAGCAATTCTGCAAAACTTTCTAATGCAAAGTAGTCTGATGAGAGTCATCAGTAGTCATCTTACACTACACCACTTCAAAAAACCAAAAATTAAAAACAGCCAAGAAAAAAAGAAAAAGGCAAAGGTAGCTGCCCTTCACTGAAAGCAAAATCCTAATTTTTCAGCCAATAGGCAGAATTTAAGATCACCAGTAGAAATATTTCTTCTAAAGGATTCCCCTCAACTATTAGATCAATATTGTATAACACGGGGAAATGCAGTAATGCTGGGCAACATGAAATGAAACATAAAATGGGCCAGAAACACAAAAGCCTGTTACAAACAGGGTAATAACTAAGGAAAAACTACAATGCTTTGCTCAGAAAAGGTCTTCTTGAGTGCAGCCACTGAAGAACTGGGGTGCAAGCCCACCCAACTCATACAGCAGCTCATTGCCTGCACACGGAATTAATATTTGCTCTCTCATCTCCTCATCTGCATTTTCTTCTTGCAGGAATTTTCCTTCTAAGCAGAAGGCACCACTGGCAAGTTTGACTGAGACCAGTTCAGGGTCTCACCAGTTACTAAAGGGAGATGCAAGGCTGACAGGTGTGGATTCATTGATGTCTAATAAAGAACAAGTTTCTGCTAGGGATTTAACAAAGCTCAGTTGGGCAATCAATCAACTGTGAGACATAAATCCACTGGAAACCTGGCTTCATTACTTCTGCGGTTCACAGAAGAAATTGCTTTTAATCCAAACCTGTCTCATAAACAGTACTTTCAGAAAATAAAGCGTGTATACATTACCTCAGTAACAAAGAGAGTGCGTGGATCAATGATGTCCAAGAAGTGCCTGAATCTGCCATAAAATGAAGTCTGAAAGACAGAAAAAAAAAACAAAATGTGTTCGGTTAGAAATTGCCTTTTATCTGCTGCACAGAAAGGTTTTACTTCCTCTGCAAAACTAAGTATCAACTAAAAATTAAAAATACAGATGGTTTTCACTGGTAATTTGTGGTGAAAGTCTGAAAAGATCCTGCTAATAGCAGCATTGCTATTAACAGGATACCAATACAGATGCTTTAATAAAGGGATACTATGAAGCTGCTACAATATCCTTTGCTTTTTCCCCCCCAAAAAAGACATATTGCTTGCTTAACCCTCCCTATGGGACTCCTGGGAGATGTTTCAGGCCACAAGAACTCAACAGTGCCGCTTAACACCTCCCACACTGAGAGAAGTTTAAGGTATCCCTACCCTGCAACATACCCTGCTGTAGAAGGAATCCCTACCCTGCAACGTCTTTAACAGTGTCCCTATGTTGCCTGTCCCCATTCCCACTAGCACCTATCTCATGGGACCAGCAGCACCACAGGGTCCCTGACTTAGGGGACAGACTAGTGTGAAGAAACTCCTGCAAGAGTTTAAAGTCTCAACAAGGAACCACATAGTTTTCTTCTTGATGGGAAGAATGAGAAAGGCAAAAGATGACTAAGTACAAACCCAGTTTTGTGTCTCACATTTACTGCAGAATTGTCCAGGCACTAAACTAAGGCTGGGTTTCATTGCACCAGTCCCTAAACAAACACAGAGGAGAAGATGGACTGTGAACCTTTACATACATAAAAGAAATTATAACTTTATGGTTTGGGCTTATTCTTAGTTCCACGTTTGGAAAAATCCAATCTAGGCATAATGTTCTGCATAACACTCATAGGCATAATGTGCAAAAGCTGGTGAAGATGCCTTTGTTGGGAGCAGCAAAAGTGTCTGAAAGACCAGAAAGGGATCCGGAGTACTAGGAACAGAGGCTGAAGGAAAGAGGAAGGTGTTTGTGAAATCAACTGGAAAGATCATAGGCAGCTCCAAAGGACAGGAAAGCAGTTTTTACTCAGTATTTGGCAGGTGGAAGGAGAATTCAGGCAAGCCCAAAGCATCAGACGATGGAACACTGATAAAGAGCACTCAGCATACGTGTAAATCATCACTCAATCACCAGTCTGCATTCTTTTATCAGGATGCAGATGTAGGCTGAGTGCCAGAGCTGCCTCAAGTGCAGCCTAAACTCTCATGTGGACATTGCCAAGGCCAAACGGACATGGGACAGCCTGGTCCAGCGGCTGCTCTTTCTCCCATGGCTTCTCCCCAGTGGAATTTGTACCAGGAATTTGCAGCCTATTGTGCATGTGGAAAGGACACAGGTCACAGACTTCCAGGTGCTTTTGAATATTGGGACCCCTTTGGCCTGGCTGTTCTGCAGCCACGTGCAGGCAAATCTCTTTTTGCGCTTGTAATGCAGAAAAGTGCTATAAATAAAGGACTGGAATATGGATAAAGCAGCGAGAATGGCATTTAATCACAGCCTGGCATAATTTTATGAAACATGCTGGTTCTTCTCTGCTGAATCCATCGAGCACAGAGAAATACCAATAATACTGCCTACTTATTCAGGCAGAAATCCCTCTCTAATGGCAGTTTCCAGCAACACTGCTGTCCACCACCTCACGTTGCAACACCCCGTTCTCAGCTGCTTACAAGACTCTCTGCTGTTATTTTTCCATGTTCTGCACTAAAAAAAGAAAAGCCCACAACTAAACAAAATAGCTTCACATAACTTCAGAAAAAAAAAAGCCCAGTGGTTTTTAATTAGCATTGATTTAATTAACACTAATTCTGGTACTTTCTAGCTTTTGCGAGCTTGACATTTTGCTGCCTTACTTTTATTTTCGACATAAAGATCTCTGCAGACGCCACTGTCCTCCACATCACCACTGCCCGATGCCTGCCAGTGGTGCAGGGAGTGACATGACTAACACATGACTCACTTGGTCCCTCGTCACGTTATCCTGAGCGCTCCCACGTACCACCATCCCTCTCCCACTGCCCATCCTTCTGCACTTGCTCAACGCCGAACAGCAAGAAGAGAAGTCAGAGCAGCTGTAAGTACATGGTTTAAACAAGAACAGAAGGGGAGGATTTTTAAATTTAAGTGGCCTCGACTTCTCCGCTGCCTTTATCATTGTGATATGCATTTCGCAGTGAGAAAAACAATATTAAATAGAACATCAGTATTTTACCCCGACTTTACAAAGGTATAAGTGACAGTACAAAGGGCAAGGAAGGGGGAATGAAACCTTAAGTTCTAAAATAACATTTACATCATGCACATTTGAAGTACAGATTTAAATTTGCAAAGCTGCAGAGGCTCTCAGGAAGCCAGTCCCATAGCCCAGGGTGATTGTTTGGCTCAGGTAGAGCGCTGGTCTCCTGCTCTGATCCTTGCCTGGTCCAGCCTCAGCAGCACCCAGCTAAGGACATGTTTCAGCAGCTCAAACCCATCCTGCCACAATCCCATTTCCACACCCCCTCCTCGTCTCCTGCCCTGTGCCAGCGCTGACACTCACCCGATGCTGCAACCATCTGATCAGGGAGCTAAAAGCACCAGAAGTCTCATCCTTAAACGAGGGATTCATTCTCAGGTGGTGGTGTTGCCTGAACCCGTTCCTTCTGTGGTCAGACAAGTCCCAGGGCAAGGGCCAGACCATTCAAGCAGGGTCAGAACAACACTTCTGACTCAGGCTCCCATGGAACCGCACAGTAAGGTCCGGAGCAAAAAAATAAAGAAGCCAATTCTACCATGCAGAGCTGCTGACCGTCCCTTCAAATGCTTATGGCCAACATTCAGAACTTTAGGCAAAAACACACACAAAACCACCCAGAAATACTGCAACCCAGTAAGGGAAGAAGTGCTTTTCCAGCCTCATCAAACTTAAAAGATTTGTCTGAAAAAGTCTTGGGGCTTTCTGAAGGCTTTCTCCAAGAAACAAAGTTGCTTTATATTCCTGGCCTTCTTCCTGGAAAAAAAAATAATTCTGAATATACAGGCTAGGCACCAAACACGGAGACGAGCAGCAGGCACTGTGCTATGGGCTTGCTAGGAGATGATGGCCAAAGCATCCGTTTCTCAGATACCATAAGGCACTTCATGGTGCAAGGTCACCCAGGGCCAACTGCTTGTCTGCCAGCAGGCAGGACTACTTCAGTGCTTGCTTCTTTCATCCCCACTTGAAAAAAAATAAATAAATTACCCTCTTGCTACTGCTACGTCAAAGAAAGGACAACAGGAACACACATGTACTTCTTCCCTTGGCTGAAACACAAGGCAGAAGCCGGTTCTCAAGAACATCTCTGACCATCAGAGATGCACAAAGAGACCAGGCAGGGAGACTAGAGCTTGAGCCCATCCTCCCTCCTCTAAGGCAGGCAGCAAGACCCAGCTGTGGTTTCCACTTGCTTTTTGCATTACCATGAGCTCTCTAAAATGCAATTATATAAACGTGCTTTTTCTTGTTGCTCTTATGAATCACCTGGTAGTGAAAAACCCCTCTTAAAGGTCTCCCACAGAGAGGATTCTGGTGCTCAACCATCAACTAATCTTTCCAGCAGAAGGGCTACTATCACCGTGAGGCTCAACCTCTGTCACGGCCTGCCTGCTTTCTTTCCCAGATTCCAAGAAACAGGATAAGCTTCAGTCCCATGACAGTGAGTTAACCTTTAATGCATCCTGATCAGGTCGGCTCAACATCCCCTCATCACCACCATGGGACAGCACAGCAGAAGACAAGCCATTAGCAAACTTCTCGCTCTGCTGCCCCTAGTCCAAGTTCCTTCAAATGAGGCAGCTGCATTAAACCTCATTCACTCCCACATCCAGGCCAAGATTTTAAAAAGAGCAGCTCTGTTAATCAAGCAACCGGGAAAAAAAGAAGCCACTAATTGGTAAAGAAGCCCTTTCCCCAACCTGCTTGTCTCCCTCATGAGCACACAAGCTGGGTTCGCTTGCACTCAACAAACCCAGGGAAAAAGCAGCAAATAAAGCTCAGCCTCGGAGAGGGAAGAGCAACATCAAAGTGAGTGGGATGGGTGGAAGTCCCCAATTCTACATCTAAAACATCTCAACGTCAATTCACAGTGCCATGCTTTGATTCAAGAAAAAAAACAGCCCCAAAATGTAGAGGAGTATGAGCTCGAACAAGTTTTGGTTTGTTGCTTTTTTTTTTGTTTTGCCCTTTTTTTTTTTTTTTTGAAGTCTGATGAATGAGAACCTAATTTTTCCACAGCAAAAAGCACTGTTTCTGTGGTCTCTCCGAGAACCACATCAAATGGAACCAAATTCAAACCAAGAGCAAAGCTGTCTTCTTGAGGGTACATCCAAATGTCATCACTGCCAGTTTCACTGCTCAGCCCTCCAAAGCAGCAGCGTGTTTACCATGACTGTATGACCCCTGAACACAAAATATCCATTGTTTTTACTGCTGTCCAGCCATGGGACTTTATGGTTTTCCTTTTCAGATAAGTATGGAAAACTGCTTCACTGCCACTCCTTGCTGGTTGCCTTTCCATCATCCAGGTCAGTCCCTGCTTCCCATGTTTAGTCTTCTGACCAGAAGATCAGAATTTTTTTAATAGAAGATTGGTATTTGTTTTCACAGGGCTGCATGCAAAACAAAAGGCAAAAAAACCCCCAAATCCTAATAATTCAGAAATTTAGTGGCAAATTAAATCAGATCCAACTGTTGCACCTCAACTGCAAGTCAATACCCTTCCTGAACATAACCACAAATCTGAATTCACAGAACGGATCAGGATTTTCCCCTCCAATCCCGATTCAAATACTTTCCTGCAAATACCAAGTTTCTACAGGCTAAATAGGAAATCAATAGCCAAAATGCAACAGACCGTTTTGCAGGCTGACCACCAACAAGAAGCCTTCTTTGGCTTCTTTGGCTCTAACAAACTAAAAAAAAAAATTGGTTCCCACAGAGTTCTGTCAACCCAGAGACCCCATGAACACCTTTGCTTTCATTTACATACTG